TAGAGGACAGAGTGGAACTGCCCACAGGGTCTCTAAGGCTGTCAATCTTCACAGAAGCAAAGCCCAAACCACACCCACTGCCGTGGGGTCGATTCTGACCCACAGCACCCCTAGAGGACAGAGTGGAACTGCCACACAGGGTCTCCAAGGCTGTCATCTTTATGAAAACCCACTGCCTCATCTTTCTCCCTTGGAGCAGCTGGTGAGTTCAAACTGTGAATCTTTTGGTTAGGAGCCGAGTGCTTTAACCACTGCACCAGGAGAGCTCCTTCTCATTGTAAGGGCCCAACCTAAGATCTAATGAACAGTTTGAGTGATAAAAGCATTTTATTATCTCACAAGACAAGAATGTGGAATTTTAAATCCTTCCAGAGCATGCACTCAGCATCTCAAGGACACCAGAGCTCACATCAGGCTGTCTGGAATTCTCTTGGCTTCTTCCGACGGTCCCAGAATGATTGCCACAGTGTGTAATTGTCTAAGCTTCACAGAATCTCATTCAAAGGCAAGCAGAGGCTGGAGGCCTTCTCTTGTCTCTAGCAGAGCGCAAAGGCTCTCAGAAGCTCCCAGCGTTTTTCTTGGTCCCATTCCCAGACGTGGACCACACTGAGTGTTCCCCAAGCCAGTCACTGGGAAGGGAACCATTTCTGGTTTAGGCCAACATGGCTTCTCTCTGAGAGTGGAGAAGGCGCTATCTTCCCTGAGCCCTTGCAGCCCTTACCTGAGCCAAAGGTGTTCTCTCAGCATGGAAGAAGAGGAGAGAAGGGGATGGGATCGCAGCCACGTTCGTCCACCACAGGCTGAATGCCCTCCAGAAATGCCTCCTTTTTCCTCCCTTTAATTGTTGAAAGTATACATAGGAAAACTCACACCAATTCAACATCCATCCATGTGCAAATCAGTGACCCTGGTGACATTTTTCAAGTAGTGCAGCCATTCTCACCCTCCTTTTCCAAATTGTCCTTCCCCCATTAACACAAACTCACAACTCCCTTAGCTTCCCATCTAACCTTTCCAGTTGCTGTTGTCAGTTTGATGTTGTCAGATGGATAGTTCTTCAAACGAACACAATGTTCAAGGCAGACAGCCTTTACTGAATAAGCTAACCTACTGTTTGGTTTAAAGAAGAGTGCGGGGCATATTTTTGACTTAAAGTTTAATGATTATCTCAGGGCAATAGTTTCGTGGGTTCATCCAGCCTCAGTGCCTCCAGAAATTCGGGGTTCCAGGAGAATTTTGAATTCTCTTTTGCATCTCCTCCTCCCCCTTTGATCTGGATTCTTCTATGGAATCTTTGATCAAAACATTCACTAATGGTGGCCAGGCACCACCCAGTTCTTCTGGTCTCAAAAATTGGTCTTTTGAACCATGATTCTGGAAGTGATGTGCAGGAGGCCATGGCCTGGTCAAGACTGGAGGTTGAGGTGATTCTTACACTGTTAAGGACGACCTGCAGTGAGCGTGGAAACTAGCCATCCCATGCAGAGATTGTAGAGGCAAAGAGAAAGGCAAAGAAAGGAGCCCTGGTGGCCCAGTGGTTAAAGCATTTAGCTGGTTACCAAAAGGTTGGTGGTTCAAACTCACCAGCCACTCCCCAGGAGAAAGATGGAGCAGTGTGCTTCCATAAAGATTACACGCTTAGAAACCCTTGGGGGCAGTTTTACTCTGTCCTAATCAGGTTGTTAGGACTCAGAATTGACAACTTGTTGTTGTTGTTGTTGTTGTTTTACTGGAGGAGAGGGAGTCAGCTTTTCCCCAGCTCACCAAACTAGTTCTGTTTTCAGCTCTGACGTGTCTTGGTTTAACTTGTTATCATCCAAAAATTAACTAGAATCGGGTGTGATGGTTCATTTGATGTGTCTGCTTGGTGAGGCGATGATTCCCAGGTGGCTGACCAAACAGCTAGTCTAGTTGCTGTGACAAGTAGCTACTTTTGATTAAGTCAGTTAGTCTTGGCGGGAGCAGAGGGCCTTCCATAATGTATTCTACTATAGTCTAACGTAATTGTCTTACGTGTAGTATAATGTTGGCAGTGTCCTGTAATCATCTTCTATCATGTGGTATGATGTAACTACCTTACACCTGTTATCATGTTGGCAGCAGACATTAGCAGCAGTTTCGTTAGCAGCAGTTTGTAATGTAAAAACCTTCCGTAATCCAATGGAACGTGATCTAATGGGATGCAACCAATCAGGAAGGGGAGGTCATACCAGTGTGGAGTGGGTCCTAAGCCTAATCACTTCTGAGCTATAAGAAGACCTGCATGGACACGTACACATACACACAAGGGGTGATACGGACACACACATGCAGGGGGTGACAGACACACACATGGGTGCCACAGAGACACATGCAGGGGGTGACACGGACACACAGGGGGTGACAGGGACAGACACACAGGGTGACACAGACACACAGGGGGTGACAGGGACAGACACGGGTGATATACACGGGGGTGACAGGGACAGACAGACGGGGTGACACGGACACACGGGGGTGACAGGGACAGACACGGGTGACACGGACACATGGGGGTGACAGGGACAGACACACGGGGTGACACAGACACGGACACATGGGGGTGACAGGGACAGACACACAGGGTGACATGGACACACGGGGGGGTGACAGGGACAGACACGGGTGACACGGACACACGGGGGTGACAGGGACAGACACACGGGGTGACACGGACACACGGGGGTGACAGGGACAGACACGGGTGACACGGACACATGGGGGTGACAGGGACAGACACACGGGGTGACACGGACACACAGGGGGGTGACAGGACAGACATGGGTGACACAACGCATGCAGGGATGACAGAGACACACAAAGGGGATGACAGATGTCAAGAAATGCCAAGAAACCCCAGGGACGCCACAGCAGAAACTGAGAGGGAGGCTCGTGGAAGGAGTCGATGCAGCCTCGACCCTGAACGAGACCCGTCAGCCTCCAGGACCGTGAGAGAACCCACCCCTGTTCTTAGAGCCCCACTCGTGCTGTTTGTCCGAAAGAGTCAGGTGGCTCCTGGAAAGATCAGAAACTCACTGACCTGCAGGGGGAAGGTGCCGGAGGGAGGACGGTGCGGGGATCAAAGAGGTTTCAAGACGGGGCCGTGGGGAGACCTGGTCGGTGAAGGGGGAGGGAGCTGACTAGGGAGCAGAGAGGAGAGAGGCGTCCGGAGCGGAGTGAATACTGAGTTTGACTGACCGTCCACATGGCTAACATAGTCATCACTAGAAGCACGGACCGAGAATAGCGTCCATGGCACCAAGGTGCGGGGCGGGAGCGGCAAGTCTGACAGACAGGTCAGGGGGACCAGGCCCCACCGTGGATGCTGAATTTAGGGATTCACACTTGACCTTCACCAGCATGTTAGAAAGTAACAGACAGAGAGCGTTGTCCTAGAGACAGGGAAAGTCGAGGGACGGCCCCCAACACAGGAGTCTCCAGTCGCGTCCCACAGAGCCCTGGGCGTTCTGCCAAGGCCACTTGCTGGGGGGGGCGGGCGAGCAGAAGTTCCAAGTCCATCCCCAACTTCGGCCAAAATACAGAAACCGTTAGGAACGAGTTGTTAGGTCTCTGGGTCCTGGGTTCCAATCCTAACTCTGCCTGTCGTTAGCCTTGGGGCCTAAAGCAATGACTATTTCTTTGTGCCTCCGTCTCCTCATCCCTCACGTCAGGACACTAAGGATATCTGCTGGCCTCACAGAGTCACTGAGAGGTTGAAGGGGGACCTCAGACTGCCTTGAAACGGTTCAGTGATTGCTTTGTAAACAGGGACCGCCTGTGTGTTGCAGAGCAAGCAAATCTGTTGCCTGAGTGGGAAGCCAACTGCGGTCCCTCCTCAAAGATGGTGGCCACCACACTGCTGGGCTGTGTGTCACTCTCCAGAGCCCTGCCACAGCCCTTCCTCTGGAAAGTTTCAGGAGCCTAATGGGGGATTAGACTATGGGCAGGTTCTGGAGAGAGAGCACACGTTCAAAGAGGAGCCCTCAGTCGGCCGCCATCTTTGAGTGGGGCATCACTGTTGGTTTCCTACTCAGGTCAAAATACCACAGGCAACAGATTTGGTTGCTGTGCAGCGCTGCATGGCCCTTGCTCATGACGGCAGGTACTGAACCGTTGTGAACCAGTTAGCAGCCCTGCCAGGCCCGTAGCCCGTGTTGGAATGCTGTGTGCTCACTGGGCCTTGGCTGCAGCTGTTGTCTCTCCTGTCTCTGAGTGAGTGCCGGCCGTCAGGAAGGCCGGCTTGTTCGGTGGCGCTTCCTCTAACGACGTGGCCCCTGCTTTTCCTCAGATGTGCCCAAGGAGCAGCAGCTGCAGGCAGTGCAGGCCGCCATCTTGCTGCTGGCCGACGAGAACAGGGAGGTCCTGCAGACGCTGCTGTGCTTCCTCAATGACGTGGTCAACTTGGTGGAGGAGAATCAGATGACGCCCATGAACCTGGCCGTGTGCCTGGCCCCCTCCCTGTTCCATCTTAATTTATTGAAGAAGGAAAGCTCCCCAAGGTGGGCCTCCCTCAGCAGCCGCACTGAGCCCTCACCAGCCATTCCCTCAAAGCACCGCGTTGCCGTGGAGTTAACGCCAACTCCTGGAGCCCCGTGGGGCTCAGAGTAGAGCTGAGCTCCACAGGGTTTACGATGGCGGTGACCTTTCAGAAGCGGATGGCCAGAGCTTTCTTCCGAGGCACCTCTGGATCGATTCCAACCGCCGACCTTTCCGTTTGTAGCCAAGCGCTTAACCTTTTGCGTCACCCAGGGGACAAGTTCATAAAACAAACGTTCCATGCTGTGTTTGTACCTGGGGATTTGCCAGCCGTCATTTTATAATCGGAAAATGTCTGCAGGCACCTGACTCTCGTGGCTCCTATTCACAGATCCATCATATTACTATCATGTGGAGAACACACTTGGCCATCCTGAAGCCTGAGGTGTTTTCTTTGTTTGTTGTTGTTGTTATGTGCCGTCGAGTCGGACCCGACTCATAGCGACCCCTCCTTGGGTTTCAGAGGCAGTATTACTACGGAAGTAGATTGCCCAACCTTCCTTCTGAGGAGTGGCTGG